CTTTTCAGATCTATACCAAATAGCACAATGCTCAACCCATATTTATATAATATTTATAATATATAGGATATTCAACTCTAGTATCACATCTCTAATTATCTCTAATGAATCAACAACCCTAATTTTCTTGGCATTACAACTTGAATTAGACTTTAACAACTACAAAATAACTTATAGTCTTCTATTAATATTTTATATCATCCTAAACCAACTATTAATGGTTTTAACAAACACTCATTAAACTTTAAAATTATTCAACTTGTTATCTATCTTGGTTTAGTAATCTTAGCCAGTTCTAATATTATATGCCCCTATACAAATAGTAATGAAGGCCAGTTACTAGAATCAATTCTATCTTAGCATTCTAAATACCCAATCTTTAAAAAACAACTTAGACAATCTAATATTATGTATTATCAATAACTCTGTACAGCTAACAATAGTACTTTATTAGATTGGAAACACCTTTCATCTAAACTTTTATTCTTGCCAAATAGGTCATGAGTTGAAATTGAATAACTTATTAGAGTGATTTAAGTAAAGTTAAAGGTTGTTAAATTTGGAAATTATTGATTAAGAATCAGTAAAAATATTGACTACTGAATTGCATAGAGTTGTAGAGATTGTAGTAATAATTGAAAAAAGCTTAGCTTTATATGATAAGAGCTAGAATTATATTTAGCAGAAAAGAAGTTAATAGTTTAATTATTATTATCAATTTGAATTCAACCAATATCCATTGTGCATTGGTCAGTACCAATGTCAATTACTAAGTCATTAATATAAAAGAATAGTTGTTAGTAAGAGTAGTTGTGTTAAGAGATAGATATGAGTTTGTTAGTAGTTTCATTTGAAATAAAAATTTTAAAAGCAATTGAATTAGAAATAGAAATTATAGATAGAGGAGAAATACAAATTGGATGCTTGATAGCTGTAGAGCAGATAAGGTTCAAGTAATTTGCATTAAAGTTAAGTTGGTGTTTGGAATTAGTTCTGCCAAAAAATTGTGTTAAAATAATTGCAAAAACTTCAATAGTACAAGTTTAGTTAATTCTATAAGAATTAAGGTGGCATCCTGTACATTATTTGTATTCAGCAAGGGTTAATAGATAGAATTTTGAGTAATTTAAGTCTATATTGGAAGTTCAGTGAGTAATGAAGTAGTAGTTAGATGAGGGGAAGTATTTTTATATTTTTCCAATAATAATTTTTTCATTGTGATATAAAAGTAACCAATGTTTAGATTTTATAAGTTTTTTTTTTTTTTTTAACTATCTCCAATGAAAAGCATCATGGGCATGTGTGGCGCTCTTTTTTTATTAAGTGCTACTTATAGCAATATTAATTACATATTAAAATAATTCTAAACTAGATATTTATCTATTTTTTTATAAATAGGTTTTGTATAGCATTTGTTACGAATCAATGTAATCTCTTTAGAAATTTTATTTTTTATAATCATAGAAAGTGCTAAGTCTGAGTGATGTATATCATCCCATTTGTAAGCTGCATAACAACACCAGATTTCATATATGTCATGTGTATGTAGCTATAGAATAGTTCTATATGTTTTTGTTTTTTCTACAATGTTTTTTAGAAACATTTTTTCTATCATATCAAGAATAGTTTCTATTTGATTTGTTTTTAGAAACTTGTATGCTTTTGTCCAAATCAGTTTGCTAATTCTGCATTCTGTGGCAAAGTGTTCTAATGTTTGTATCTGTTCTAGACACCATAGGCATTCTTCTGAATTTGTTGGCACAAAGTGTTGAAGTCTATATCCTAAAGATAGAGGTTTGTGAAATAATTGGCAGAGTATATCTTTTTTTTTATTTAATATTGCCTTCTGAAGGATCCAGTTTTGGTCTTGAAGATGTGTTGTAGATACTACTTGGTTCACTGTTTTACTGCTGAGTTTTCTTAAAAGTTCTACTGTGAATTTGACTGACATTTTAGTAGCTTTTTTATCATCTATTTTCAGCTCTGTTAGGCTCCAGAGCCAGTTAGATTTTGATAGTATTTTTCTTTTTATTTTTTTCCAGGTCAGGAGATAGAGTTTCCATTCTGTAGGCCAAGCTTTTGATCTGATAGGTTGTATAAAAAGTGCCTTCTGTATTAAGATATCTCTTTTTTGAGCAAGCAGAAGGAAGATTCTATTTCTTTCTACTTTCGGCTATAAAAGATTGCTTAAGATTAGTTTGGTTCAAAATAATAGTAATCTAGCTTTTAGTATATTGCCAACTATTGGTGCTTGTAGACTACCTTGTTCATATGATTGCTGAAAGGTAGAATATCTTGGTAACATTTTGGAGTTACCTTTAATCCAGAATGTGATAAGTCTGTTGATTTCTGCCACTTGTTTTTTATTCAATAGAGTTAGGTATGCCACATACCATATCTTTGACAGGAGTAGAGAATTTGTGAGTATAATTTTTCTTTTAAGTGACAGATTTCTGTATTTAAGCCTTTCTAAACTTAGCTTAAACTTGTTTATAGCTTCTTTCTATAAGGTTTTTTTTGATGTGCCATTAGTTGTAATATTATAATCTAGTACCATAATGTCATCTTGTTTTTCGAGTTTTTTAAAGCAGGCTTCTTCTGAAAGTTCTATACTTCTAGCTGCATTTGTAAGAGGCATTAGGTTTGTTTTAAGTTTGTTTATTCTTGTATTAGATGCTTTTTTGTATTTGCTGAACAAGTCCAAAACTGTTGTTCAATCTGAGTGTAAGCTAACTCCAATTGTAAGATCATCTGCATATGCTGCATATTTAAAAGACTGATTGCCAATTTTGATTTCTGTTATTTTGTTGTCTAGCATATTTAACAATGGTTCAAATGCAAGTACATAAAGTATAGGTAAGAGAGGATTACTTTGTCTAACTCCTCTTTCTACTCTAAAAGGATTTGAGATATGTTCAGATTCCACAATGTGGGCTTCTTGTTGATTAAATAGGTTTTTTATCAAGTTCCTGAATTTTTCATTGAAGTTCATGTTCTTAAGAACTATTTGTAAGAAATCATGATTTATCCTGTCGAATGCTTTTTGTTGATCTACAAAAAGCATCCAATGTTCTTTGGACTCATCATTCTGATTTCTTAAAATTGTAAGTATATCTAATGCTGAGTTTGTAATTAGTCTGTTTGCAATAAAACCTTGCTGATATGAAGGTACTATCTCATTGCATATTGAGTTTAATTTGATAGCAATAATTTTCATAAAAATTTTTGTGTCACAGTTAATCAGTGATATGGGTCTCCAATTGTTTATATTGTGAAGTTCTTTGGATTTCTTTAAAATTAATGTAATTAGGTTTCTGCACCATGAGGGTAGCATTATTCCTAATTCTAAAACTTGGTTAAAAATTTGTTTTAGAACTGGAGTAATATGTTTTTCAGTAAGTTTGTAAAACTCATAGATAAGGAAATCCAATTCTGGAGATTTGTTGTTGAGTAGTTTTTTGATGACCTCTGAGATTTCTTCTTGAAAGATACACTCTACTAGCTTGTTATTCATTTGAGAAGAAGTCTGAGAAAGATTTTTGGTGATTTGTTTTGTTATTGTTTCATCAATTTTTTCTTTGCTATATATTTTTGTATATTGCTCTTTGATATAGTTAAGTAATTCTTTTTTATTATGTTGTTCTTGAATAGAGATTATTTGTATTTCTGTTAGTGCTGAATGTGAGTTTCTGGCTTTAAAACAAGTATAAAAGTGTTTGGTAGATTTTTTTTCTGATTCTATTCAGTTTACTTTTGATCATTATTGCCATATATTTGCTAATTCTTTTAGTTTTGACTGGATTTGTGAATCAATATATCTAATATAGTGAAAAGATGTGCCTAGCTAGAGTTTTTAGCTAGAGCTTCTTTTGTTTGACTAACTTTTTTGTTTAGTCTTTCTATTTTGTTTTCTGGTACCTTAGGCTTTCTAAAAGCTTTTATAATAGATTTGATATTAATTTTATGTATATCCCAGTTTGCTGCTGTATTAGCTTCTTGGATTTCTTCTAGAATTTCCTTTTTTAGAACACTATTTCAGAAAGAGTTTACATCAAATCTTCAGAGAGATGAATGTCTGAATTCTTGTTTTAGACTTAGAACACATTCTACCAATAGATAATCTGAGTTTCCAAATTTTGTTTTTGTTTCTGAGTTTAGATGACTATAGTTTTTATCTATAAAGATATAATCTAGCCAGATAGCTATTATTTGATTGTTATATGTTTTTTGATGAAGAGGCTTTGCAATGTAAAGAGGCAGAATCTATAAAATCCTTTATGTTGCCTTTAAGAAGTAATCTTGAAGGATCAATTTCAGCACTTGCTTGACTAATTCTGTTAATTTCTGAATCCAGATTTGTGTTTAAATCTTCTGCCAGGATGTTGATCATATTATCTTTCTTCTCAATTGTCCAATTATCAAAAAATAAGGTTCTGTTTAAGATGTTTAGTGGAATATAAACATTAATTACATAAAAAGAGAATTTTCTAAAGATGAAACAGGTAGAGATTATTCTGTCTTCTTGTAATATCTTAGTGTTCTCAAATTTTATCTCTTTGTTTCCTGCTAAGATTGCTGTTCTGTCTGACCAGATTGAATCAAAAGACTATTGGTTTTTTAGAAACTGTTAAGTTGCATTATTAAAAGTATTGGTTTCCTGTAAAAGAATAATATCTAGTCTATAAAATTTTAACTGTATCAAAGTTTTAAGTTATTTGTTTATATTATTTAACCCTTTAACATTTAGGATAGCTATCTTGATTGATATATTGTTCATAATAAGAGTTAATAGGTTTTAAAGCCACTTTGTGCTTTTTGTCTTAGTTCATCTTGCTGGTTTTCTTTGTTAGAAGTTTTGTAAGGTTTTGATTTCTTGTGTTTTCTTTTTTTACACACAACTAAAGTAAAAAGCATGTTTTCAGTATTTTCTTGGTGTTTAGTTTGAAAACTTCACAAATCTGTATTAGTTTCTTCTATAAACATATTTTCTGTAAGATCCTCTAAGTCACCTTCTTCAGAAGGTAAAGTTTTTTATTAATAGCTATATTATCTTTTTGTGTTTCTTCCTCCAAGTTAGCTGTTTGTTTTTCAGAAAATTCTGGTTTTATGTCAGTATTTTGTACTGTTTCTTGCACTAACGGTAATTCCTTAATGATGTTTATATCATGTTCAGCTAAGCTTTTATTAGAAGTTTCAGTTTGGGCCTTTTTGTTTTTGAATTCTTGAAAGTGTTTTCTTAATTCTCTTGCTTCTTAAAACTGCATACAATTTCTTTTGATATGCCAGTTTGGTTGCAGAAGTAACATACTTTTGGAGCTTCTTTCCATTTAGTAGTTACTTTATTGTCTTCTATATAAGTAAAGTGAGAAATTTTTTTTTTTAGTTCTAGGTCATCTGTGCTGTCAAAAATAACAATCCATTGGTTTGTCAGATATGGCATGCCTTCGATAAGCAAAGGTTTAATAAAGACAATTTTTCCAAAGTCTTGAAAGGCTTTTTTAACTTGGTTAAAAATATATTCTTTAGAGCCTAGAGGCATATTTCTGATCTTAATTGGTAGAAAGAATTTGTGCACATCTGTAGAGATATATTTATAATATGTTTCTTTGAAGATTTTGATACTATTAGTTGCATAATGCAATAGTTGATCTTGGTTTAGGAATACAATTTCAAGGTAAGACCTCAACTCTTTTTTAAAATATTGCTTGGCTGCAACTATGTCTTCTCTCATGTCTTTATGTAAGAAAACTATAATTTCATTAAGAGAATTATGAAGGTCTGAAATTTCAATAATTAATGTATTGTTGTTTTTGGATCTGATTTGATTCATAGAGAAAAATACTACAAAAGTTGATTTTCTATACCTCAACTTGGCAGACAGACTTGTGCCTTGTTTAGTAATTAATGCATAACTTTAAATAACCTTGTGTGCTGATTGCTTATTAGAGATATTGTTGTTGTCATGTTCTGCATTTAACATGTGACTGTTTTTGTTGTTGTTTTCATTTTTGTTGTTTGCTTCCTTCATAGTATTGTATATATTTTCTAGAGCCCAAGAGTTGTTTTCATTTTGGTCAATATTCTTTAGCCAGTCTTCTTTGTTTTGGATCACTACTACTGGAACTAAATCATTTTCTATTACTGCTATCTCTTCCTAAGCTATTGTTGTATTATTAAGTTTTGGTTCATTTTCTTTTTCTGTAAAAGAGTTGTTAGTTTCTTTCTCTTTTCCTAAGTCAAGTTTTTTTATTTTAAAGATTTTTCAGTTGCTAGAGGCTCCACTAGTCGAGGAAGCTTTCTTTTTCTTGAAACAAGGGCTTTAGTCCTTAATAGTATCTTATTTTTAGAGTTTAGGTTTCTGTTTAACAATTTTATGATTGTAATTTTCTATTTGACTTTCCTAATCAGTGATAAGCAAGAAAGAGTTTTTTATTTTATAAGTTTTTTAAATGTATTAATAGTATAATAAACATAGAGGTTATAATCAAGTAATTGGTAGTATAGTAATATATTTCAGTAATAAGAGTGTGCTAAAATTGTGTCTTCTAAGTAGGAAAACCAAAGAGGTTTTCTTCTCTTAGGCATATACTTTTTAATATTATTAAATCACACAAATTACAAATTATCTTTCACAAAGTGCAAGCTCATTTAGATAATAATCTTAATAAGCAAGCAGACACTTTTGCCAAATAACATCTATTATCACCACTTTTTTCATTTAATTACACAAACCTTTATAATCTTTATCATATTCTTCAATGAAAGCAATATTATGTAGAACTTTCTACAAGATATTTTATCAAGCAAATATGTAAAACCCACATATTAGCTACATAGTTATCTCAAAAATGTAATAGTAAGTGGTCATACTTCAATTAGAATATTAACTAAAGATCCACTTGGCTTTAATTTAAGTATAATCAAAAACCCTTACACAATATTAACAATTTTAAACTCAATCAACTAAAATCCTTTAAAATTAAAATTCTTTTTAATAAGTTACCAATATAACAACTATTTTATACTATCTATATTCAGATACTAATTGTTTTTACTATAACCTAGATAACTTTCACTCTTGCTAACATATTTGTGCTAATTCACTTTTGCTTAACCAAATTATTTAAACAGCTACTAATTAAATCATCTTTAGCAAATTACCTAATCTTGATACTTACCAAAAAAATAATCTAATTCATAAAATTCTTTATTATCCAGCTTTCAATTCCTTATACATCTTAACTAATACATTTATCCTAACCTTATTCTCAAAGAACTTATTCCAAAGTCACTTATATCAACAGTTCAAAACTTCAACATATTATACAAAACTGCCTTCCAAGTTATTATTGATATTTTTCTTAATATTAATGAACAATTATATAAACAATTATGAAAAACATATTGCATTCATTTCTCTAACTAAAAAAAACAACCAAATAGATCCCAATCTCAACTAATCAACAAACCTTCAATATTATCTAATTCAGCAACTAGGCATATATGTTTTTGTAGAGACTATACTTACTCATGCCTCTGTGGACTTCTAGATCAACTATATACCCACTCTAACATATGCCCTTCTATTGGCCAAGCAATTTGCAAAATTAATATTTGGTCTATTTTATAAATCAAATATAGCATATCATCAAACTATATACTAAACATTCAAATATAAGTAAGCTTTGACTACTCTAGTAGGTTTGAGTCACAGATAAATTAGTTTGAGCTTTTATTCTTACATGTAATTTTTAATTTATTTGTTTTGTACAAATAGTAATAGTTGTATAGTTAGCAGTTTAATGCTTAGCTCTAACTGCAAATGTTGGCTTCAGTCATAGCATATATACATGTAACTATTTTAAATTATTAATAAAGATATAAGTAAGGCCTTACCTTAATATCAAAAAAAAAACTAACAGAAAAATATTCATCTTTTTGAAATGTTGCTTAAGTATCATGATTTCTTTCTTCATAATTAATTGGCAAGAGTTGAGTTAATTCTATTTCACAATTTTCAATTCTTACAGAATAAAGTCTGATAGTTTATACTACTACTAAATTTTTTTTACCAATTTGATGACAACTTTGATTTTTACAATTGTATTTACATTACAAGGCATGCTTAACAAATTGTTTTATTTAACAGATTTATTTTGCAAATAGTATTTAAATTATTTTTTAAAAAATGTATTTATTTATATACATTCTTTTAAAAATGTAAATTTATCTTTTATATTTGTTTAGCTGTTAAACTTTATATATAAAAATTGTTTATCAATAATATTTATACACAAATAAGCTTATTCATGTAATTTATATTTTTATTATGCATTAAAGATAGATAAGTAATATGTTAATATATATTATTTATTGTTTCTAAAAAAGATTATTCATGTTCTATATTTGTTTATTTTAATGAACTAATCTGTTATATATACATGTCCTTTCAGTATAAAGTAAGTATTTATATATTTCTTAATCAATATAGTAATGATTGCTATATATTGTATTAACAAAATGACAATTACTATATTTAGAGTATTCTGGAAAGATTAAAACAGGTTTAGGCTAGAACTTGTCAAAGCAATTATTACACAAAATTATAAGATACAAAATAAAAGTTCAATCATTAATACTAAATAAAAGAGCTTGAAAAAGATGTAAATTAACTTGGTTTAGCTTTAGAATAGTTTCTTAACATTGGATGTTTTAATTTATTCTATTATTATTGTTAATGTTTTAATTATTTATATTATCTAATAGTCATATTTTTAAAGAGAAGTATGTACTATGAGATTACAGTCTGATTTTTTAATAAAACCAATTTATTAATAATAAAGAAAAATATTATTTTGGATATTTAATTGTCTTGAAATAACAGAATATTATGAACATTTATAGTCTTTATAAAAGAAGTTATTCACTCAATATATACTTATCAGTAATAATATATATTTACTTATATTATTTGCTAGCTCATATTTTTATTATATAATATTAATTAATTTAACATTACTATTTATTATTTTACTATAATAATTTTTAGTAACTATGTTAGTTTAAATTACCAAATTAATTATAAAATTTGTGAATTAGTTAAACAAAGTGTTTAAATTAATAAGACAAAAGTTAATACTTAAATATAATTTTATACTTTCAAATAATATTATTAATTTTTGATTCAATAGTAAATAAATAGTTATAATCATTATATTATAGAATATTGCATAGTTTTTTGAAACATTAAATATAATGGTGCAAAAATTACTATAAAAATAATATGACATGATTTATTGTTTAAAAATACAATATTAAATATTATGTAATCAAATATGACTAATTTAAATATATTAATAAACTAAATAATTAATTATATAAAATTTTGTAATATATTACATTTTGAGTATAAATGCTTTGTTTACCAAAAATCTTATTATTTTTATCAAAACTTTTATATTACAATAAAAATAAGCTTGTAAAAAAGCAATATGAAGCTAATTATATGTAAATATATGCTTAGATAAGTAAACTTCTATGTGTAAAATAGTTTAACCTTGTGATTTATTAATTGTCAAAGCAAAAGCAAGTTTAATTAGGAACTATTTTTTCTTTAGAGTAAATAGTAACTTGATATTATTTGAAAAAATAAATAGTAATTGAAGAAAAACACTCATTTTTCTTGATGTTTACATATAACTATTTTAGCTTTAATAACATTAGAATGGAACATATGACATAACAATCTAGTACTATTATACAAACCATTAATTAGGTTTATATTATAAAGATATATAACTGACATATTAACTTTAAACATAATTCATAAGAGAGAATATTAGATGTAATTAAAGAATTAAGAAAATTTTGTTGATAAAGATTGTAGTTATTATTGAGAACAGTATCAAAGCTTCAGTACATTATAGTATCACCAATTAATTAGTTCAATATTACATTATTAACATAATCAATATATTTATTTTTAGTAGTAAGAATAGCTCTGTTGGTAAAATAAGAGATGTTTAAGAAATTAGTATAAAGTAATAGATATATTTTTTAAATAAGAACTTGTAAGAAATCTTTATTATTCTAATTAATAATCATATAATCAGAAATATAGATTATATCTTTACTATTAAATGTTTGTTTAGTTCTATTTCCAATTTGTAATAAGAAATTTCTGAAGTAATTGGCTTCAGAACTGTTTTCAACTTGCATATTTTAATAAAAATAAAAAATTTTTATTACAGACCATATATAAGAGAATTTAAAAGTAGTATTTATAATTTGTGCATAACAACCTTATAGAATTACCAGTAAAATCTGATGAAAGTCATCACTGAATGCAAATACTTTTTCACCAAATAGAATGTTAGACTCTAACAAGTCTTATAAAGTTTAATTTAAAGCTTTTATAAAATAATGATTCATTATATGAATTTTATTTCAAATAATTATTTTAGCTAATTTTAGTAATTCAGCTAAGTAATTTTGCTTGCTAACAGAGTTAGTTGAATTAGAATTAGCATTTATAGAAATTTTAAACCTAGAATGTGCAGTTTGTCCTCTAGGTATAAGCAATATAGCAATACCAGATGAGGCAGTAGCAAGCACAATTGAAAAGCCTAAATAAATTTTAGCTAACAAGCAAAGATAAAGGAAAGTTTTCCAGAACTTGCAAGTTAATTAACAAAGATAGTAGCAGGTTAATTACTATTAATATGATCTATAACCATATTAAATACTAATTTTAGATCTTTATTTAACAGTTTAATTTTTTCTAAGTCACTAGAAAATACAGAAATACTTCGCTCTTTGAATAATAATCTTAGTAGTTTATTCAAATAATCATTATCAAGCAAGGTAAGAAGAGGAAGGTCATATTTATCAAAAGATTTATTATGTTGTTCTAGATAATATTTTGATTTGAAGAAGAACTACATTAATTTGAAAGGACCAAAAGAAATACTACTTCTTGCAAAATCTTCAAACATAGCATCAAAACTATTATTGTACAGTGATTAAACATTATTTAGATTACAAAATAACAGTATAGTTACAAATAATTGTAATAATGCAGAAGGCATCTTAAATCAAACAGCTTATTGCATAGTCAAATGATATATATTTTTATTCTCTATAAGTCCTTGTTTTATTGTACAGTCTTTAAATATTAAACACAGACTATTATTAAATGTTTTTAGAGCATCAAATGAAGGGCTTCTTTAACATTATTAAGAAGCAAGTGCAAGTAATAATAATCTTCTTCACTTGAATTAACTGTATAAATTCTACTAATTACTTCTTTTTAGCAATATTTTGTTTATTCTTTATTAGTTTTATTTTAAATATAACATTACAAAAATTCATAATACAAGTATTTAAATGTATTTGGATTAATTTTATTCATCTTAAAATATTCAGTTAACATTGTTTATTTGTTTTATTTATTAGTAAGGATTTTATTTAAATTAGAAGTTTTTAAAAAAGTTATAGTTTGTTGGTCAGAAAGATGAACTTGTAGATAAACTTCTAAAGGGTTAATGTAAGATATATAAATCAAAAAATTTTCCAACATGCTTCAGAGGCAGAAACCCACTGAGCATCTAAGTATCAACTGATTTTATCACTATTATTGACTTGTAACATTGCACAATTATGACTTTTATAGACATATTTGTATAAGTACTTAATCGAATTTATACTTGAACATATTTTAACATTAACATAATATCATATTTGAAAAAAAGATAAGGGTTATACAAAACAACTAAAAAGTATCCAACTTTGCATTTTTAATTAATATATATAGACCATCTTCATGTTATCAGTATACAGAATATGAATTATTACCTTTTCTTGTTATATAAACAAAGTCTTTTGAATAATATTTAGTACATACTCTATCTTTTATACAAGATGCATTAGAATTAAAGATTTCATATGAACTATGTATTATGAAAATTAAGATTGTTCTATATAATCTAGGTTGTTGTTCTGGATCTGGTATTTCTGCTAATACAATTGCATCATAATCATTAGTTCTATGAAGTTTATTGTTATAACAGAATATTAATAACAAATATGCATAAGGAAGACTACATTTTTGGATTTCTACTACATATATATGCACAATTACTTGACCAAAAACACTTTTTACTAAAAAGATCTTTTTTAAGATCTTTTAATTTAGCACTAAATTTTAAGCTACAAAGAATAATATAATATTTATTAACTAGTTATACTGAATTCATTTCATCTCATATAATTTACAATTCAATTTACTAAAAGTTAATATATTGAAAATTAAATTTCACAAATAAATTACTTTGTAGTAAAATTATTTTACAAAAAGTTTCATTTCATAGACAGTTTATTCTGTATATAATTTTTTCTATAAAATACTTTAACACTAAATCTTAATTTCAAACCTTAAACTAACATTATCTACAAAATAAACTGTTTACATTATCTACAAAATAAACTGTTTATAAAATAAATTTTTTTGTAAAATAAATTTACTACAAAGTAATTTATCTATGAAATATAACTTTTTGTAAATTATTTTCTGCAAAGTAGAATCTTGTCAAGTGATTCTTTATAAATAAGTGCCACCTGTTATATTTACTAAACTAAAATAAAGCAAAAATTTATATTTAAGGTCTGGTTTGTTTTGTAAAGTTTGCTCTGATAAAAGTTCAACTATGATTTTAAGCTGACAGAAGTGATATGTAATAGTGATAAATATATCAGACTTTCTGTAAATATGTACTAATACTATTGTATCTTGGTATTATTAGTTCATATTATGTAAACCATCTACAAAAGCTAAAGTAAAATAACTTGATAACCTACTTCAAATGCATTAGTTAATCCAAATTGCAACAAACCTTGTAAGCTCTAATAAAGTTCACTATAAATTTATTTTAACTAAAACAAAAGTAGTTAAAACATATAGATTTAATCTTAACATAGTTATTAACAATGTATTGTTAAAAAAAATGCCTATTATAAAAAAGTAACGTAGGGGCAGATTCATGAAAATGTAATTTGTATCATAATATTGCATAGAAGTGACTTTTTTTTGTAACATATTTTGTAGGATTTTAGGATGATACTATAA